ATGAAGGACACAATATGCTAGCCCGAATTGTCACAGGTGATGAGTCTTTGGTTCACCATTACCAGCCCGAGACAAAGCGTACGTCAATGCAGTGGAAACATCCTGCGTCGCCTGCCAAAAGCAAAAGTTTAAGGTGACACCATCCTCCAGGAAAGTGAGGCTGTAGAAAGCTGTAGAAAGGGAAGTCACCGCTTGGTTCCGACAGCAGCCCAAAGAATTTTATTCTGCTTGTTTTCAGGGGCTTGTGAAAAGATGGGACAAGTGCCTCAGTGTACAGGGAGATAATGTTGAGAAATGAAAGCATTTTTCAAATCAGTACTCTTATTCGTTCAAGTTCTATATCCATTATTGACTTACGTAAAATATCGCTTCAAAAATCTCAACTCAAATATTTACATCAGAATTCACCTCATAGAAGCCTAATATTTTTTTTCCAATTTTTTGAAATTCGTATAGTAAAGTCTATTAAACTATTAATATTAAGTCTATTAAACTTTGTCATCTACAAACCAGCCATTACGTACAGGTTCTTTCTTCAGTTTAAGATTTTCACATCTTAGGAAAAAGTTGGGGGATGCCATAATGCTCAATATATCTAGACTCAGTGTGGGTGTACTCAGTCTTATCAGAACTGTCTCCTCTGGAGTAAGGAGACCGGAGCGTAAAGCCTTAGTAGAATTATTTAGACATAAAAGCAAATTTATTTTTCGTTCAATCTAACGTGATATTTTAAGACGCTTTCAAGCATCTGATATTCATGCCTACAAAAAAATGATGTGATTAACGGAATTAAATTAGGCTGTAATTTTTTTTAAGTTTACATTTTTGTCAGAGAAAAGTACATCACCTGTAATCTGCAATATGGACCTCTAGTTATTACAGAACCAGATGGTTTCTGGGTACTCATATGCTACAGAATCTTGCCCCAAAGGAGTTCAGTCAACTTCTGATCACATAAGCCTATTTTACTGAAAACCCACTTACGCATTTCTACCTCAAGCTGTCTATTTCCTCAGTTTTTCTTATAAAAATTGTAGTAACTTCTTGCCTGCTCTCTTTATTTTCGGTGTGTGTTCGATCTCCTTGTTTCAGTGGCTCTTGGTAATAGAATGCGAAGAGTAGATACCACAAATTTACAGTTTTTGCTAGCCTATATTTTTCGGGTATTGTCTCCTTCAAATTATTGATTCACTTATCATTTATTTAACGATATGTTTTCAACTTCGTTAAGTGTATAAAGTAATAGTAAGATGGTTACGGTAGCTGAAAAGGTAACGATTTGGAAGAAAGAATTATTGGTCTATTAGAAGGAACCATCCAAGCACGCGTCTGGAGACGCCAAGAAAAGCCTTTGTCGGTGTAGTCGGTAACCCGGCCGAATCGAAACCATTAATTGACTACAGTAAATATGAAGTCTTTGTGTTGCTCCAGCCTGTTCAGGTTTTGCTTGAGACTTCTAAGACCTGGAAAATTGCATTCTACCGCTCCATCCTATGAAGTCCCTCCCCAGTCATCATTTTTATGATCTGTTGTTATTATTCATCTTTGCATAATCTCTACATTTTACAGAGAGCCGTTATGTAGGAGCTGTTAAATAGATTCAAATAACTCAACATTACTGAACGCCTTATTATTGATGTATAGGCTTTTGCGCTTGACAGCTGTGTCGAAGAAGTTGCCGCATTGACACGGCGAACCAGTGTTAAAGTAACAAATATACTTCTGAAGATACAGACATCGTATGTGGATGCCAACATTTTGGAGGAACTTATTGCCTCCACCTTTAGGGTTAAGTGAGGGTTGTGTTGTTCCGTAGGAGGATAATTCTGCCCCCATTTTCAGGACTTCATCTTCAAGACTAAAATCCTAACACAGACACATATACCGACGATAGTGACGTAATATGCCTGTTGTCTACCTTTCCCGGTAATTTTTGGTCAATTTGTAGATTTTTATAAAACTTCGTATGAACTTCATCATTCTACGAATTTCTGAGATGGAAGCGACACTAGTTCCAATTAGAAGACAACCCTGAAATTTTGTATAAATAAACCTTACAAAATATGAAAATTTAATTAAGGTAGTTAGACTATAAAACCAAATACGGTCAACACCAAATTATTCGGTATCAAAGCAACTTTAACTGTCGTGCTCTACCAAACGAAAAAAAACAACTTTCATTACACCTATTAAAGCAGGATTAATTGCTTGAAGCTATTACATTTAATCTAAGTTTTCTCTGATATCAGGTAGGCATGTGTTATATGATCACGCGGTAGCGTAGTTGGTTGAGGCACCATGCTACAAGTTGGAAGGTCGCGAGTTCAAGTCAAGATGAGGTAATTGGATATTTTTCAAATGACCTAATCCTTCCAGTAGCACTCTGGCCCTGGGATCGACTCAGCCTCTAACAGAAATGAGTACAAGGCATTAATTAATAATTTTCCTGCGGAGTAAAGCGCGGCCAGCGAGTAAGGCTGACAACCTTACCGCCATCTTTCAGCCAATTGTCTAGATATGTAGGACCCTCAACGTCTCACAACCCTATGGGCCTTCACGACTTGTTACAGGGATAGCTTTACTTTTTTTACTTATAGGCTTGTGGGAACTGCCCACATTCAAACAAACGTTACAGTGACAGCTCAAGTATCATTGCTTGAATGTGGGCAGTTCCCACAGGCTTAGTAAATTCAATGACTTGTACTCACCTGGCAAGTTGAAGGAACCCGTTTCTGTCACAAGCTAGATTATGTTAGTTAGTGAAAAGGCAACTGATTCAAATTTAGTTCCGAACCAAAAGTTTTACAGATGAGAGAAATTTTGTCCATGCAAAGAACAAATCCACAGTCAAATGAAAATAGGGATCAAATTTAGATCTGTCACAACAGCAGTTGAGTTCTACCCTGAGACCACCATGACACTTTCTGGTAAAATATTATCATCCTGTTTTCTTTCTATAGAGTAAAGTAGGCTAAATAATATCCATATTATCCACGTGTTTATTTACAAGGATAGGTGTCTTGAGTGTCAGTGTCAGTGTCAGTGTCAGTGTCAGTGTCAGTGTCAGTGTCAGTGTCAGTGTCAGTGTCAGTGTCAGTGTCAGTGTCAGTGTCAGTGTCTATCCCCTTCCAACTTCTGAAAAAGACAGATCACTTTTCTTAAGATGTGGTATTAATGTCATGTCATCGATGGTCACTCTGGTGCAGTATTTTCTAAGTTCCTTCTAACCAGCTAACTGACCAATCTGATGTAGCAAAGTGCTCCTTCACAAGCCAACAGCAAAGATATTCCCAGAATTTTATGGAACACAAAGTTCATTACCACATTCGAAAGAGCAACCCCTCTCTTCCCTGCCTTGTGTCAGATGAATCCATTCTGCATTTTCCCATCCTATTTCTTTGGGAAACTATCTTCCATTAAGTAATAATAGCATAGTTAATATTATAACTGTTGAACTGGAATCAACATTAGTGTCGCCTCATATAGGATCTTGACATGAAGTACTATAACGTATCTTTGAAAAATATGCCGCCTTTGTTATAGTAATATTTGGCAGAACGTAAAACAGTACACATGCAAGATATGTTTTCAGCTTACACTTTGATGATTATAAAATAAACTATTGGCGATAGGAAAATGAAATTTTATGGAGAAATAAGTCATGAACATACCCGCATACTACATAAGATATAGTGTTTATAAGTTAACAATGACAAATGTGGTGACACATAAACTTTGAGATTGTTCCTGACAAATTCAAATTAGACAGAATCTGTAAGCTACTTATATGATAAGTCCTTCACAAGATTAAAATAAAGTAACAGCAATAATAATAATAATAATAATAATAATAATAATAATAGAACTGTACTTACTTACTTACTCATGGAGCTGAGCCCTTCTGGAGGAGCCGCCNTCTCCCCCATTCGTGCTACATGACCTGCCCACCTCATCCTCCTTGACTTGATCATTCTAATTATACTTGGAGAAGAGTACAAGTTATGAAGCTCCTCATTATGCAGTTTTCTCCAACCTCCTGTTACTTCATCTCTCTTGGGTCCAAATATTCTCCTCAACATCCTGTTCTCAAACACCCTCAGTCTATGTTCCTCCCTTAATGTCAGAGACCAAGATTCACACCCATACAGAACCACAGGCAAAATTATAGTTTTGTATATTCTAATTTTTATGTTTTTGGACAGCAGACGGGAAGACAAAAGTTTCTGGACTGAATGGTAGCAAGCATTACCCTAGTATTGTAGGACTATAAATAACCTATATGTATTAGTGAGTGTTCTAAATCTGTGCCAGATATAAATTCATACTTTTTGTCGGTCCTTGCAGACTCTGTATATATGAACACTAAAGGTTTTTTCGTGTGATAGCCAATACTGTTGAAAGCAATTAGAGGTAGTGGAAGGTCATAGGTGACTTACCAGTATATGCTGTACTAATCAATATATTCCTTTGATTTTATTGGTTCAGGTTCAAGCTGATGCTGTGTGGCAGGCAGCTTCAGCAGAAATAAAAACTATATCATCAAGGCTTCTGTTATCATTATCAGCATCTTTCCCTCTTTCTTATCACTTTACAGTGATTAATTTGTAAACTGAGACATGCTGGAGCATTATCATACTGGAGTGAGTGGCAAGCCTGTAAATAATCATCTTTTAATATTTTACATTCAAACATCAGATTCATTAAATATTACGAGAATTTATGGTTTCAGAAATTGAACTTACTTCAGGCAAACATGGTTAAAGGATTTTATCTTATCGTATGTATCAATCTGCACAGTCAAGACGCAACTTCTTTTGTGTAGCCACAAACAAGACATTAAAATAAAAAAAATGTTCTTTCTTAACAAGACATATCTGGCTGTTTCACTCTCAGATACACATGTACTGCTACAGCAATCCAGACTATCAAGTGCATGTTTCAATAAAAGAATTTAACTGATACAATTTTGTCCTAGAGAGTTACTCTGTTTACTTTGACAGGGAGCGCTTCAGGAATCTAGAACAACTAGTGGTGAGAAAAGGTTAAGTTGTCCTTGTGCTCAACTAATTCAGCACTTTGCCATGAAGGTGTATGGAAAACTGGAAACTACTAGTGGTAGAAATACTAGGTACAGCAGATGCTGCTTGCTGTGCTAACTCCAGGGCACAGCTTACTGGATAAAAATACCGATTGTTAGCAATAATCAGTTGAACAAGAATGCAGCTGTTCCCTGTCATCTATTGGTCTAGAACAGAAATGTTTGTGTAAAACAGTGGAAGTGGACAGAATGAAAACTTTAAAATTAAGCAATACAATTTTACCTGTTCACTATTTCTTCGAGAAAGTCTTCAATAAAAATGAAACTGTTATAGTATTTCTGGAAATCCTTCGACACCAATAAACGCAAATAAACAAAATATTAAAGTCAAGAATTGGAAATATTTTTTCAAAGTTGGTTTTCTATTATATTTTCTAATAAGGTCATATTCATGTCAGAGCTCAAGCACAAAACAGGATGTTATGTAATCACTTCCACTGCACATGCATCAAGGCCACAGTCAGGCAAAAATGTGATAACAAAAACCATAGCACTGCTTACAATAAAAGAAATTTTTCTGTGTTGGTGTATATCTGATTAAAACTTCCTAAAAGTCATAACATTACACAAATGATGACATTACCTGCTATTAGATTTGGTGGAGTCCACTGTGATAAAGAGAGATCCAACTTGAACTGGAATTTCGGTTCACTGCATCCACATGTCTAGATTCAACTACTTGAACTGGCATTTCAGTTCACTGCATACACATGTCTAGATTCAACTACTTGAACTGGCATTTCAGTTCACTGCATACACATGTCTAGATTCAACTACTTGAACTGGCATTTCAGTTCACTGCATACACATGTCTAGATTCAACTACTTGAACTGGCATTTCAGTTCACTGCATACACATGTCTAGATTCAAATTACAACTACAGCAAATCTATAAATACGCAAAATGTAATAAAAGTCCATTCCATAACAGTCCTTCATAGGAAGCTAATAGTTGTTCTTCAGATAATGGAATTCTCTGCCTTTCATGGAACACAAAGGTTTATTATTTTGTTCACAAGAGCCATCTACTAGTCTTATCCTCAGTCTGTTGGATCCAGTTTGGTTCACTATTTTGCACCAGAGATCATGAATGGAAGATGGACTGGAGAAGTTGGTTAGATTATGAAATTGTATTATTTTAACTGATGAAGTTATATAGCACTGGATGAGACAAGAAGGTCAAGAAAGATGATTTGCTGCTTACAAGGAGGCTGTCATGAGATACTTCAAGGTACCTTCCACATTTGTCTGGATAGACCAACAAACATCACAAATTATCAGTAAGGATTGCTGACAGTCTAGATGAATGTTACCTCACAAATACAAGTTCAGAGTATCACAGTCATGCCAGTATGCTGAGTGAAATAGTTTGCATAATGAAAGAACAGATATGTGCAGAATTTTGACCAGGAAACGTCTTGGAAGGGGAACATAATAATGAAATTGATCCCAGAGAGAAGGGTTGTAAAAATGTGAGTTGGATTGAACTTGTTCAAGATCAGGTCCAAGGTTGACTAGCAGTACTAGCAGTGCTGAATATTTAGGATTTATCGCTGACTCAGTCATCAGTGAGTAGCACAATGGGATTCTTCCAAGCAATTTAATTGAACACTTTTATTATTGCTGGAGAGGTACAGATATGTAGTCACAAGCTATGTGTCAGAGATGAATGATTATTTGAAGCTTTCACAGCAACAAAATACAATGAAGCCTTTTCAGATCATCGCCCATGTCAATATGGAATTAATGTTCGATGTTTCTGAGACTGTCTCTGTCTCTGTCTCTGTCATCAGGGGGTTTATAGAGTGAATATAACCTGTTCCATACAAACTTGGAAAGCTCATATATTACATTGGATGCAAACATAGTTCGTGAATATGTTACTCACCACACAGCCACTAAACTCAAAATATGACTCCATTGACTACAGGAAAGGTTTTAATAAATAATAGTGAACTTAGAATTTAGTAATATTATTTTAACATTAAGCAGTTATCATGCAAAATTATTTTCCTTTCTCTATTATTTACCATTTCCAAAAGACAGCTTTCCTTCTATGTTGCAATACAGAGAAACATGAAAATACAATAGTTACGGAAATGATGACTCCTTGCAGCAATAAATGTTTTCTTACACTTGTTAGCTTGAAGCATTTTATTGAACTCTCAACTGATGAACTGTGTATTCTGTTGCATTCTGAATTCATTAGTGCTCACAAGTTACTATTGTTACAAATAACTATTGCGGATAACAATTGGCTGCTCCTTGTGATGCAGATACAGACAATTATATCAATGACATCGTGTAACGTACAAGGAAAGAATGTGTGAATAAACAGAGATACAGTATCTCTTCTAATTTACTCTACATTTTTACAGATCTGATAGGAGAGAAATTTTGTATCTCTTAGAGAGTTACAAAGGCTAATCACTAAATTCAGGAACTAATTCTTGTGTATGTCAGTAACACACCATTGTTAGAGTAAACTACAGATGCTGACAACTATTTCTGATTACCTCCCAACTAAAGGGAAGTTATTGCTGCATATAAGTTTTGTATAAAACACTTTTTATGTACTCATGTTCCAAATGGTCTTCAGTACTGAAATGGCTGATAGAGTGTAAAAGGATATGTGCTTCAATTTCTACTTGAAACTTAAAACTTGAAGCAGCTGTTCCAGAAACCAATAAAATCCTGAAAAAAAAAAGAAGTTTGAAGATGAAATTATCTTCACTGGGACATGTATGAGTGATATGTTCTAATGAATATTTCCACCAAGGATGATACATGTCTGGCCCTCAATTGCCATCAGCACACCAAAGACACAAATGTCTGTGTTTGTGACAAAATATGTACTGATATCGGTCACATGTTTTGAAGCATGTAAGAGATAAAATATGATAGAAATTACCTGAAAAAAGTAAGCTAGATTCATGGATGTTGCATCATGAAAATGAGCTGAGATGCCATTCTCAGTGCTCTCTAGGAGAATGTTCTTGAAGAAGGGGAGTATTCTACCAGTTCCCCAAACACCAGATTCACTCTGTTTAGTCTCCTAATTTCTTTCTTACGTTTGCAAAACTGAAAATTACCAAAAAGGAATAGGGATTTCAAAGTATCATAAAGTTCAAAGTGTGACATGGGAACTAAAGATCCAAAAAAAGAATACTAGAAATACTTCAAGAAGTGGCAGGAGGAGGCCACGTTGAAGGGAATGAATTGGTTAAAAAGTATGATTATTCTATCTTACAAGGAAATAGGGCAAGAAAGAAGGAGAGAAAGTTGAAAATTGGTCCTGGATTTCTGTGGTACACCCTCAAATACTCAGCATGTTATTTCCTGAAATAGATTTTCATGAACAAGGACTGAATGGTGCAATCCAGTGGAGTACTTAACTCATATTTTACAAATATGTCCTTTGTGATCTTACTAATCTCTTTGATAGTGATCTTTATTTAATCCATATAGAAATATACTGTTGCAAAACTAATCAAGCTGTAGATCTAATTCTACTTAGAGTCATAAGTAATGTTTCATTGTGTTCTATGCACTATACAGAAGGTGAAGGTAAAGGTGCATACTTAATTACCCACTATGTTGTGGAGACATATGGAGAAGTCGAGCAACATATAAATTGAGATTAAAAATTATTGATAAAATCTGGAGTTTTAGTTGTGTTCCCACATCTTCATTATCACTGAAATAATATTCAAGGATATCTGCACTGGATTGATCCCTTTGGATCAAGAAACTGGACTGTCAAAGATGAAGTGCATCTCATTTAAAACCATCTTCATGAATTTCTCAATTTAGTGTAATCCTAGTTAGTAAAACAAATACTGTATCAATGGTAGATAAAATGAATTTTAATTCATTTCAGTATTTATGTACTTATCACACACTGTAATATTAGTAAAATTAATGTCAAATTAATGAACATTTAATATTTACATATTCTGTTTCATTCCATGCCCAGATAAATATACGAATATCTGGAAATTAGTTTCAAAATTATGAAAATCGGTTTAAAAGAAAGAAACCGGATTGTCTTCTCAATACTGATGATCACTTAACCAAAGAAATCCCTGAGAGCATATAAAGAAAAATCTAATGTGATCAAATATTTTATTTTGGTTTTCATGCTTCATTGAAAGAAAAGAAAGTCATTGAAAAATGAAAAATATGAAACATGGAAACATCAGATATTTTACTTTGTTTTTTAAATAGTTTCCTTTCCTTCATCTTCAGATTTCATGCACAATGTAAATGATTTTAATTATCTTTTACAAACATAAATATAACAGTTTCAGGAAACTGAGCTACTTTTCTTGTCTTCAGAATTATTTTATGAGAAGAACTCTAGCCGGAAGTTCGCGGGTTCAAATACCGATGAGGTCATTGGGTTTTTTCAGTTGACCTAATCCTTCCGGCCGCACTATGGCCCTGAGATTCACTCAGACTCTAACAGAAATGAGTACCAAGAATTAAATAAGTAATTTTTCTGGGGAGTAAAGTGCGGCCAGTGCGTAAGGCTGACAACCTTACCACCATCTTTGAGCCATTTGTCTAGATAATGTGGGACTCTCAACGTCTCACAACCCTATGGGCCTTCATGGCCTGTTACAGGGATAGTTTTACTTTTTACTTTTCTTTACTTACTCTTCTAAGCATCACTCACGAATCTTCTCATAATTTTTTTAATTCATAAGACATTATAGAAATCACAGTTGTTTTATTTTTTGTCTGTGATGTGACTAATCAATGCACAAATTATGATTTAGTTCAGTTACTTAAATGATAAAAATGTAAATATGTTGCAGTATGTCAAAGCATAGATAATCTCATACATTCTACGTGGGGTCACTTTTGACCTCACACTCAGTTTTTGGTTGTACTAGAGAGAGATGAAAAGAGAACAGTTTGGTAATTTTAAAGCATACGTATTTTGTTTAATACATGCCACTTGCAGTTGTGACTTACCCCAGACAAAACTTTAGGGTTAGTGAAATATGAATATTTAGTGTCTCTTTAGCAAATATCAAAGATAAAATTACTGAATCAAAATATGCAAATGTTGCATTACTTGCACAGCTTGTGTAGAACACCATAAGAACAGTATTAAATTCACATATCTGAACTTCTACCAGAAAATAATATAATTCTAATAAAATATGAACTGGATTTGTGCTACCAAGGTACAGTTTAGAGAAATTTCCCCGCTGTCAATCAAAAAATATAACAATAATGTACAGAGGTCTACAAAAGGTCTGACATGTTTTGATCTTTAATAATTC